TACCATCAATGGGACCATAGCTTATTTGTTTAGCTATCCTCAATATCTGGTGTGCTTTGAGTTACATAGAGTTGTTTGCCTTTATTTTAATGATCCCAAAATATTCTCTTTCTATTTCCAACTTGTTTATAGCTTTGCTTTTTTTCCATTAGCTATATCTTCTTATTGCTGTCATGTTGATTGTCTTTACATGGTCATTCCCCTTTCATTCTTCTGCTTCTGCTCTGTAAAGACTATCTAGCTTTGTAAAAACTATAGTTCAGAAGTAATCAGTGAGGTCGAGGGCTTTGCTGTATGGTCTTTTTCATTATTATGTTTACTTGCTAAATATTGCAATCCAGAGTTTTGGCTACGGCTTGGATAATCACCAAGTGGTCTTTTTTTTTTTTAATTTTATTTATGGAGAAAAAGAAAAAAAACGAAAAAGGGTACAAGTTATACAAAATTTCAGAAAAAAAAACAGTAGGAAATCACTAGTTAATAGATTACGTATTATCATCTTAGAAATAGTTGTTCAAGTTACAAAATTAAAGCATATAAAGTGGACATTCAAACAGTGAGACTGCAAACAATTCTGTTCATTGATCCAACAAAACTCAGTAATATGGTTATCTATCTTATACACTTAAATATACATGCAGTTATATCCTTTAGAGCACTTTCTTTTCCTTTCTTTTGTACAATGACAGTTACACATTTTGGGTTTCCTTACTCCCATAGTTCTTATTACTTTTTTTTGAAGAGAATAAAACCAAATGTGATATAACAAAGCAGAGTCAGTCAAATCAAAAGGATGGACATAATACATAATGTAAAAACAAAATACAAGGTGATCAACAATGGTTACCATACTGCCTCTTGCTATCTTAAAAAGAATTGCCTATATCATCAGTTATAATAAAATTGAACAAAACAGTAAAGAACAAAACCAATAAAACCAAAACATTGGAGACATTACAGGACTTCAAAAGAAGATAATAGTCAAACCAAAATGGGCGTCATAATGAATCTTACTGTCTTCACAGTTGTTGCCTATACTCTCGAACTTGGTACTATCAGTCAGAACAGAATGGAGGAAAATCAGTCAAACAAGATGGTGAGAGCAATACAGGGTTTCAAATTAAGTTAATAGGAAATCAAAGTGAGTTACTATAATATATCCTGCTATTTTTATTTTTCCCTTAATCAAAAAGATAAAAAAATAAAAAAGTAATAAAAAAAGGAGATTGAGATAAAAGAGGACATAACAACAAAACAGCACAGGTCAAAACATAACCATTCAAGCAAAATAGTGTTTTACCACAAGATATCCCGACATAAAAGTAGTTACCATAGTGTCTCTTTCCTTGAAATCTTTGAGTATAACTTCTTGTACTGTAGCATGAAACATATCAAGACAATGTAAATCCATTCAAGAGAATGACAATATTACAGCGTATTTAGAATCAACTAACACAAAATAAACAATGGTTTCTGTATAATCTCCTTGTCTATAAAAGTTTTTGTTTATATTATCACATATAATAAAATCCAATAAGATACAACATGTTAAGAGCAATGGAGACAGAAGAACAAAAGCTTTATGGGACTTCAAAACAAGATGATATTAAATCAGCACTGCTATTATGATGTCTTGTTTTCTCCAAAATAGCTGTTCCTACCATCCAACCTTCTCTGCCTCATTTCTGTTGAGCTCTTTTTCTGTCATTAGTTGTCAGTTTGTCTTCTGCATTTCGCTTTCTGCTCCATTCATTGTGACCTCTCTGCCACTGTTTCTGGAATCTTGGAATTTTTCTTTTTTAGAATGTCCTGCAGTATTCTCTATAAGTTGAATTGGTGGTTACAAATTCCCCTAGTTCCTCTTTATCCTGGAAGCACCTTGTTTTTCCATCAATTTCTAGGGACAGTTGTGCAGGATATATCAATCTTGGCTGGAGGTTATTATCTTTCAAAGCTTGAATTATTTCCCCCCACGATCTTCATGATTTGATGGTTTGTACTGAGAAGTCTGCTGTAATTCTGATGGGTGTTCCCTTGTAAGTGATCTGTTTCTCGTCTTTGATGGCTTTTAATATTCTGTTCTTATATTGGATTTTTGGAATTTTGATTATTTAATGCCTGGGTGTAGTTCTGTTTGGATTGTAGGTGGCTGGGGTCCTGTATGTCTCATACCTCTGAGTATCTTTACCTTTTGCTAAATTAGGGAAATTCTCCTGGATTATTTCTGTGAAAAGCCTTTGTAGTTCATTTGTTTGTGTCCCTACTTTTTCTTTTATGTTCTTAATTCTTAAGTTATAGATCCTATCATCTTCTAGCCTTTGTATTATTGCTGTTTATTTCTTTGTTATTTTTAAGAAGTATTTCATTTCATGCTCCCTCATTACAAATCTGTCCTCCAGTTCAGATAAATCTATCCTTAGTTTCTTTCAAGCTGGTATGCCAGCTTTTAATAGAGTTTTTAGTTTCCTGGTAATCTCTTTGAATCTGCTTCACGTATTCTATGTTTTCTCTTTTTTCTCCATCAAACAATTCTCCCCTCTTTTTCTGTTCTTCCATTCCACCATCTGTTTTTTCTTGGGCAGTGCTTAGCATTTCTCTAACTATAATACTTATATCTTGCTTTACTTCATTAAATACTTCACTTTTGAATTCGTCTATGAGGCTCCAAAGATACTGCTTTATTTCTATTGGTGCCGTGTCTGATATTGCATGTTTTCTGTCCTCATTCTCCTTTGCATTAACCTTTCCTGGATCATTGTTCTCAGAATTGGGGACTGAGGACCCTTTCTTGTTGCTCCCTCTTCCCATACTTTTTGTTCCTTCCATACAAGTGTATATAGGAGGCCCAGTTTCTTTCTTTGTCCGTTACAGTTTGTTTGAATCCTCCAGCTAGGTGTTCCCACTTCGGTGCACTAGGGAGACACAGACCTGGGCAGCCTTTGCTGGGCCTGCCCCTGCAGGTCAACCTAGTGAGGGCTTCACTGCTAGGGTGCACCACCAGGTGCTGGGACCTGGTTTGGGCTAGCCTATTGGGTCTTAGTCTGTGGCGTCACCCAGGCCATGCGCTCCCCACCAATCCCACTTGCGGGGAATATGTGACTAAAGTCCCTGCAGCGTCCTGTTCCAGCTAATATGCCCGGTCCCAGAACGTCCTCTGTTGGAGTCTCCTAGTCTATGGAAGGGTCCCTGTTCCTCTCACTCATCGCAGGTTGATGCAGGGCTCCCTGCCAGTCCCGCTCTCAGAACTTTCACGTTGTGTCCCTGCTGTGCTGATTGACTGATTCAGATGCAGCGGTGGCAGCAGGAAATTCAAGTTGCAGTTTCCAGAGGCACAGGTTCCAGCTTCCACACTGAGATTTTATCTGTTCCGGTTATAGCCCCGGGATTGCATTTCCAATTGGTTTCTCTCAGCTTAGTTCGTTCCTGGGTCGACAGGTTATATCTCCCCTTGCTTAGGACTCCTCACACCGCACCATTCCTGGATTCTAAGCTGGCTATCTTAGAGAGCCTCCATAGCTGCTGTTATCTTATCCACCATGTTCTCCCGGAAGTCCTCACCAAGTTGTCTTTGAAACACAGAAGTACTTTTGTGCTGTCAGTCTTCTAGAGCAAGCTCTTTGGTTATTAAATGATACTAACATATTCAGAACACATACTGAGGACTCCACTAAATTGTCTTCCTTGTTTCCTTGGGACATTTGGGGAAGTTTGCTGACTTATAGTTCAGGACTGAGAACAAGAAGGAGAAAAATCATTAATTTATAATTATAACTAATATCAGGTATGTTTATTATAGTAACCTACCTTCAATTAGCAAGCACAGTTTACTTTGTAAGAGTGCTTTTCCTAATTGTAAAATGCGCACCTTCTTATCTTTTCACTTGTCTGAAATCAGGGTGCATCTTACTATTAATGATATCCTACAGTTGCTATTGGCCTTGTGGTAAATCTTAGTGAACTTTCTGTGTGGACTTGGTTGTTAATCCTGAAGGTATGACTGAACTGCAAACTCTTTACTATTTTAATTGACAGTCATTGACAATAAACCATTTAAGAAATGATTTGGAGTTTTATAGCAGCTCCAAATCTTTTGATATCTTCTTTTAAGATACAGCCAAGGGTCTTGATAGCATAAAAGACAATACTGCTTGGTAAACCTTGACCCCCTCCCTCCCCCCATAACTCTGAGTGTAAGAGTGATTCAGAGGAGTGAAATGCTGCATGTGAGGGAATTTTAGGAATGCCTCAACCAGCTTGGATTGCTTATAAATATTATGCATGATATATGATTTCAAATTTTTCTAAATAAGTCTAGAAAGGTTCTTTCAGTATTAAAAAATTCATAAAATTTCTAAGCAATAAAGCACGGTGAGGTAATTTGACAGCATATTTTCTTTCTTAGTGGTATATAAAGTAATGGAGCTTTATAATATTATCTTCAATTTGATTAGACATGATGGTTTGATTTATTATGCAACTTACTATTATTGTACAGCTTCCTGTTATAACTCGGTGTTTTCTTAAGAACATCTGATGTAGTGATGATAACACTACAGGGCAGTGCATGAATAATAGAGACCAGTCTGCCTTAAAGGGTGCTACAGCAGCTATACCACCACGTGGGGCCTTGTTCGAATGTGCATTCTCAGGCTCTTCTCCAGACATATTGAATCTAAACTTTAGACATGTTTTAACAATCCCTAAAGGTGATTTTAATGCCAACTAAAATTTAAGATTTGCTACTCCAGGCAGAATTTCAGACAAGCAAAAAATACTGGTGGTATTATTTTCAAGTCAATGTAGAAGTAGCCTAGAGTTTAAAAAAACACACATTCTTGAAGTGCAGCTCAATTACATCTGCTACAGTGTGTTTAAGAGAAATGAAGAAATTTACCATGGTGTGTGTTAGCCAACTACAGGTGGGGTAGGAAGAATAATGGAAGAGTCCAAAAACTGTTTCTCCTTCATGTTGGGATAATACTTGATCTTTGTCTTTTCAGCATGATGTGTCCCAGACTTTACTCAAGGCAACACTGGACAGTGTTGTAGAAGAATGTGTCAGCTTTGTGGGAGTGGATATTAACATCTGTTCAGAAGTTTTGTTAAGGTGAGATAAGAAATTTGTGGCCGAAGATCACAGAATCTTGAGCAGTTGCTGTCTAGTTTAAACAAGAGGACACGTGTATAAAGTTGTCGAGTGCAGAAAGTCTGTGTGTTTATACATTGCTTTAGACAATCATTTAGAAAGGAAGACACCATCTAAGGGAAGAATTGTTAACAACCCACATTATCATTGTTAATGTCGCAGATCTAAAGTGAAGACCGTATGGTAATCATTGAGTACATTAGTGTCGCTAGTTGAAATTATGTAAGGTTAATGTGGAAAAGAGCGATTTCCCACCACATGAGACTAGGTGTTTTTCACTAAGTCAGTGCCTTGCATGTGTCTGTCAAACTATAACGAAAATATAAATTTCAAAAGTTTAAGGTATACGTACCACATTTTTACTATGATTTTACAAGTCACCTATCAAACAATTGATACAACTATACCTTATGTATAGTACTTTGTCTTTTTTCCCCTGTAGTTATAGAAAAGCTGTCTTTTCTGTGTTTATAATCTTGCCTTTGTTATAGTTTTGATGCAGCATGAAATTCCCAGATCTGGACCTTTTTCACTAAAACTGGTACAGTGGAAATTAAGGTTTGCTTTTTTTGTCATAGGTATAAACACTTAATTATTCCAAATATGGAATAGTAAACATAAGTCTACTTATGAACCCTTAAGTCCATAGTACACTTGAGTCTATAAAATAATAATCATTTAATTAACACCAAGCCAGCCAGTGATAATTTTTCATAGTTTTATTCTAACCCTGCTGTTTGTGCCTAAGTACCTCTCTATAGTTCAGCTCTTTACATTATGAAAACAAGCAGACAGAAACAAGTGTAGCTATCACTAAGTCCCTTTGTAAACAAAAAGAAATAGGCAGCATTCTCCTTTGATTCAGAAATAAAAGGAATGTGAGTAATGTGGAAACAGTATTAGAGACAGTTCTTTCCCTCGCATCAGTGTTAACCAGCATCTTTGACAGCAGCTAGTTCTGTCTTGTTTTCCTTTTTTCCTCCTAGATAATTCTTTTCTCTTTGTCCTTTTGATTTTTAATGACCTTTTGGATTAATTTATCTTACACATAATGATAATATGTAACCATGGTGGATTTTTGTGGTCCACATGTTTTATTTCATTGTCTTTGTGGATGAGAGTCTCCTTTTTCATCTGCTCATTTTGTTTTATTATTATTATTTTAGGCATATTGCGGGACTCAATGCCAACAGAGCCAAAAATATTATTGAATGGAGAGAGAAAAATGGTCCCTTCATCAACCGAGAACAGCTGAAGAAAGTGAAAGGGCTAGGTCCAAAATCCTTCCAGCAGTGTGCTGGCTTTATCAGAATCAACCAAGATTATATTCGGACATTTTGCAGGTGAATAAAAGCGCACTCTGGTATTATTGTCATCCTCCACTTTTGTAACTGTTAGTCAGTTCACTAACTGACATAAATTCTCGTTACTAGAGTTTTTGCTTCATTCAGTATGATGTGTTAACTGTCTGTTCTTTGCTAGGCAGTGGGAATGCAGCAATCAAGTCAGCAAATGCCTTGTTCTTGTGGAGTTATATTTTAATGTTTGAGATAGACAATAAACAAGTAAAAGAAATAACTTCAGTTGATAAATAGTGCTATAAGAATTAAGGCAGAAAGATGTAACAGTGTTTTGGGGAGCAGTGCAACTGCTTTAGATGAGTGATTTATTAAAGAGTTACTTGAGCAAAGTTTTGTATGAAATGTAGGGGTAGCCACACAGTGAATCAAAGGGGAAACAAACGCGAACTGCACAGCATTGGCCTTTTCCAAATATGCTTGCATATTTCTTATGATATTTAATTTTTATATGGCTATTATAAACATATCGCTGGTTATTGTGGTTTTACTTAATCTAATGTTAATGCATTTATATTTAGTATATCTATTGATTGGACTTACTTTTCTTAAATATTTTCTCTCTATCTTGCTTTCTGAGTTTTCTTTTTGTTGTTAGAATTATCACTTAACAGGTTTTCTCCTTGTTTTCTCATGATACTATTAAACTTCCTTGGTGATTTCAAAGCTAAACATCTGTTCTTCTAATGATTGTCCTTAATTTTGCTTTGGACTGACTTCTGGAGTTAGTAAGTATCTCTGTCCTTGCAGACAAGACTTGAAACTTAGGAGTCTTTACAGCCTTTCTCTCTTTACCTGGAAGGTTTAGATTTTTGTGTAGGTGTGTGGATCTAAGAGTGTAAGACCATGGGTGTGAGAGAGACATTAACAAGCAGTTGTTCACTTTTTCTTTTATTATTTGTTAGTACATTTGTGATACATAATGGGAAGTTAGTACCTATACGTATTGCATCTTAATCCTTTTTTGCTTCCCCTTTCAAACTGTTTTTTAACGTACCTTCGTACGGTTCCTGTACTTGGTCACTGTGTAGTCTACATTCTGATTTTGTCTTGAATTCATTGTATTTTTCTGCAATTTATTTTTAAATTCTTTCTAGAAAGCAAGTGTAACTATAGATTTAAATTTGCCCTCCTAAATCACTGCTGCTTTAGCTCACATGTAAGATCTAGGTTCAAAGTCATTTTGTCTCAGAGCTTTTGAGGTATTGTTCTGATGTTTGCCAGTAAGAAATCTGATACCAGTCTAATTCAGGTTCCTTTTGTAGTAATGCTTGAGTCTCTTGAAAGTCTTTTGGGGTTTAAAAAAGTTAATTTCTACTCTAAAGTATTCCATAATAAGTTAATTATGAGTCTTTTCCCATTCATTATGTTCTGTGCTTAGTAGGTTCTTTTAATAACTTGGGTTTTTCATCAACTCTCAGGAATAATCTTTCCCTTCTCCTCCACTCCTTCTCTATGCCTTCCTCCCTCCTTTCCACACTCTATCCTCCTCCTCTTCCTCCTTTGCCTCCTCCTCCTTCTCGCCTGCATTTTTCTCTGTTCTCTCCTAGAATGACAGTTACACTGATTGAATCAGTAAAGAATTTCTTGGCTTTAAATAACAGTCCAATTAACAGTGGTTTGAACAAATAAATGGTTGTATCTATGAAGTGAATGGTTAGTTTGTGTATATTTCTTTTCTGCCCGACCTCCCTTTTTAAAAAACTTTTTTGGTTTTTCCTGGTTTTAAATGACTGCAGTAGTCAGCAAACTGAATCTTCAAGCCAAATTCAGGCAGTTGCTGTGACATCTTCAGCAGGTGCTGAAGTCACAAATGAGAAGCAGGGCAAAAAGAAGAGCAAAACCACAGTGGATGCAATACTGAAGCCAAATCCTTTGGACCAGACTTGTATTCATCCGGAATCGTACGACATAGCAATGAGGTAAGCCTAAGGCCCATATGAGACTTCTCCATACCCAGGGTGAGTTACAGCAAATGGCTTTTGTTTTGGCATAATGGGGCCTGAAAAATATGACCGTGTTTAATATGACAACATTTTTTTAGAAGTTCCGCATTGCTGAGTTATGTGGCACATTATTTTATTTCAGTGAGGAATGAAACCATTATTCCTGGAGCTGTGTCAAGCTAGTAAACCCAGGTCCTAATGGTGAAGTGTGTGTAATGGAAATTGCATGGCACTCTCCTCTGTTTGTTTTGGAAATTAACAAGATACCATTGACTAGCACCTGGCACAAACTTGTGCTTTTTGAAAGATAAAGCCCATTTGAAAGTAAACAGCCAACTCATATTTCCTAATACTGTCCTGATGGGTTCTTAGGGAATCTAAGAAGTAGTGTACTTTTGGTAAGCACACATTAGCATAGAATGATACAGGCAGGTTTTTCAGTACAAGGAAAGTTTAATATAAGCCATTAAAAGAAAAAAATTTTAATAACACTTAGCTTTAAATTTTTAATTGCTCAAAACCAATAATTTGCTACATAATCAAAATTTTATAAAGTTCTTCCTGAATCATATGATAAACAGATTTCTTTTTTGAAATCATTTATATTTGCTTTAAAATGTTGAAAATTATAAAGGTATATTAAGAGAACTTAGAAAATGGGGAAAATAATGTTTTATCAACATCAAAACAGTGGCCCTCTCTTTCCACAACATTTTATTATGAAAAAAAATTAAAACAGAAAAATTGATAAAATAATCTGTAGTAAATTCCTCTCTACATCTGGATGTTACTATTAATGTACTATATCTATTTTCCACATATCTATCCATCTGATTTGTCCATCAAAGAAAATTACAGATATTGTACGTCCCCTAAATTCTTCAGCATATTGCACAACTAACTAGGGTTCAGTCAGTTTTGCAGGAGTTTGTTTTTGGCTGCATGATCATTATATCCTTGGCTGTTGGTGACCAATTCAGTTAGAGGTATGGGGCTGACAGTTCCAATCTTTAATCTCAGAGTTGGCTTTTCAGGTGGCCAGCCAGTATCTTGAAGCTGTCTAGGGGTGCCAATCCACTAGTCCTCTCATTAGCATATAAAAGACACTCCTATCCTGAGATTACGAAAATTTTCAGAACTTTTACTGGGAAACATGATGAAGACCAAATATAAATTTCTCTGTATCATCTGGAACTTTGGCTGTTTTCAGTTTTTAGCTTTTATGAGTAAAACTGCTAGAATATTCAACTGCAGTTTTGTATTGTTATTGACACTGGGTTTCATTTATGTTAGAAAAATACCTACTAAAGGAATTGCTGATCATAGGGTAAATGTGACGTTTTCATAAACACTTTGGTTATACCATTTTATATTTTACACTTTTCTTCGATTGTTTTTATTTTAACCATTCCAAGTGTGTATAATAGTATTTCTAGGGGCTGGGGATTTAGCTCAGCGCCATTAAGTGTCTGCCTTGCAAGTAAGCAGTCATGAGTTCGATTCCGGGTACCGATAAAAACGAAAAAGACAAAAAAAAAATAGTATTTCTACAGTTTTAATTTGCATTTCCTTGAGGGCTTTGATACCTTTCTCATATGCTAGTTATTTATATATCTTCTTTGCATAATATCTGTTCATATCATTTAGATTTTTTTCTTTTTTTTTTTTTTAATTGGTACCAGGGTACCAATCACGACTGCGCACTTGCAAGGCAGGTGTTAATGCCATTGAGCTAAATACCCCAGCACCTAGATTTTTTCTGATTGACTTATTTGCTTTTTTATTAATAAATTTTGGAAGTATTTTAAATGTACCATGAATACAAAGTACTTTGTCAAATATGTTTCAGAAATACTTTTTCCTAGTTTGTGACTTCTCTTTTTAATGGTGTCTTTTGGTGAACAGAAGCTTTGAATTTTGAGGATGTCTAAGTGATCAATTTTTTGGCTCTGATTGCTTTTGATTCCCATTTTCTATCAGAGACAACTCTACCTCAAATTGTGACATATTTTTAAATGTTTTCTCTACTAGCTTGATGGTTTGGACCTTTAGAGTTAGGTCTAGAATACATGTGGAATTCTTTTTTGTGTCTCATTTGAAGTAGGAGTCCATGTTTGTTCTTTTTGGTAACGGGGATCAAACTCATGACCTCACACTTGCAAAACAGGTGCTTATGCTGCTGAGCTAAATCCCCAGTCCTCATGTTCATTTTCTTGTACCATCATGAACATTCTGCTTTCTAACACAATGTTTAATAAAATAAAAACAAAAAAACTTTGCTTTACCTACTGCTTTAGTGTCTTTCTTAAAAATCAAATGGTTGTATAAACCTGAATCTGTTTCTAACTCTGTATTCTACTTCGTTGATCTATCTCAAACTCTTTTTCTTTTTGGTAGTGTTAGGAATTGAATTCCTTCTAGGCAAGCTCTCTACCACTGAGCTACATTCCCAGGCCTCACTGCTCTGTTTTTTAGTGTTTATTGTCTGTACCATACTTTGTTGATTACTGTAGTTCTCTGCTAAGTTTTTAAGTTAGATAGTGTAAGGTCCTCCAGTTTTGCCATTTTTAAAGACTGCTTTATATATTCTAGATGATTAGTATTTATTCTGTAAATTTGAGAATCAGCTTTTGCATTTCTATTTTTAAAAAAGCTAAGGATTGCGATTGAGGTTTTATTGAGTCCATAGATATTAATTTCTCTAAGCAATGCCTTAGTTTTCAATGTTCAGTTGTTACATGTGTTTTACTAAATGTATTGGTTTCAACACCATTGTAAGTAGATTTTTTTTTGGTGGCTACTTGTTTCTTACTAGTATGTAAAAATATATAATTGATTTTTGTATAATAGTCTGTATCCTCCAGACTTGTTAAATTTACTTACTAGATTCAGTGTCCAAAGATTTCTCAAATTTTTCTATGAAAGCAGTTATATCACTAGCAAATAAAGGTTTACTTGCATTTTAATCATAATGCTTTTTGTTTCTTTTTCTTGCCTATTGCAGTAACCAGTCTTTCATATTGTGCTGACAGGAGAAGAGTAGGCACCCTTACCTTGTTCTAAGCTTCAGGAGATGGTTCCCATTTTTGTAATGTGAAAAAAAATGTGATCTCATGGAGTAATGGTACTTTCCAGTGTTTGTTGTTCAGAAAGATACATATGTGCTCATGAATTTATAGATTTCTTGTAATAATTCCCAGGTCTCTGGGAACTAACTTTTATTCTGTGCAAACCAATGTCACTTTTATTATATGTTTTTGTTTCTTTCCATGATGCTGTTATAGTGTGGCTTACACATTTTCAATTTGCTCTATATTATAAGCACACTTTTTTATTGTTTCTTCATATTCCTTTTATTAAAAGGTTAGATAATATTTCCTCGAGTAGTTGAACTGTAACTTAATAGTAGTAGCTCTAGTAATGGTTCTTTATGATGGATTCCTAGAAGTAGGATCGCTCTGCCAGAGGTTTAAAAGTTTCTGTGGCTCTTGCCTCACTCACAGTGCTGTGTTAATACACTGGTCTTAATGCTATCAGCAGTGTTCAAGCCTGAGCAGTCATTAATTCTGCCTGTTAGGTCTTCCTGCCAGTTTTGTGTGGACTATTTTCTATATATGGAACAAATAGGGCCCCCTAATGATTTCATCCCTTCCTGTACTTTTAGGAGCATCCTGATCTCAGAAGCAAGGTAGTTGTAGATTATTTCATTGGAAATTTTTTTGTGTATGTAGTTTAACTCTAGATCTTTAAAATCTAGAGATAAAATTGCAAGTGTACCTAATTAAGCCTGCCATCCCCATTATCCTGTTTGGAACTATAAATTTTTGGCTTTCAAGTACATTTAGTCTAGACATCACCCATCACAGGTAATTTATATAAGTCTCTTCCTAGGGAAGAGAAAAAGCCCCCAAAAGTCCCATTACAGATGTGATTAGATCATCATTGGTTTGACTTTAGTTCTGTAAAAATAAGTTCTGTTGCAATAAATTTTATTTTAGTTTTATCAGAAAAGTAATAGAAAATAATTTTTGGTAGGTTGCTTGTTTCTTTGTTTTGTGTTGTCCAGGATGGTTTTCAACTCCAGAGCTCAAGTGATTCTCCTGCTTCAGTCTCTGGAGTAGCTGGTATTACAGGCATTCCCCCACACACCCATCTGGGCAGTAAACGGCTTTAATATGACTCTATCATAATGTCATCTGCAGAAATACTCCAGAATGTGAAGTGATTGTCTTCTTACTTTAGCACTTATAATGCTCTCTCATATTCATATTTTGGACAATTGAGATCATAAGTAGTCACTTAATAGTTTTTAAAAAGTATGTGTGTATATGTATGTATGTATCATCTGTAGGTTGCTTATAATACCTAATTCAAGGTGAGCACTATGTAAATCATTATGTTCGGTTAAGTAATAGCAGTAAGAAAAAGGTCTGTACTTGTTCAGTACAAATGCAGTCTTTTCCCCAAATATTTTGGATGCACAGTTGGTTGAGTTTGCACATGCAGTACAGAGATACAGAGGACTGACTATATTTCAATTACAGTATATTTTTAAAATCTTCTTCCTTTATGGGGCTTCTCTGTGTATTAAAATTCTCTCATTATATGGGTTGAATTTGTCTGATTTATTTACTTTTTATACTTGTTTATAATATTGCCATGTTTTTAAATACAAATGTTTTAATTTTTATGAAGAAAAATCTATTCTTTTCTTTTATACAAGATGTATCTTCTTTTAAAATCTTAATCTTTAAGAACAATTCAGTGTTCTCAAACTTTTATATTCTATATGGTTCTAGCATTTCTGTATGAATTTTGTTGGTGATGATTTTACTAATCATTTGGAGTATGCAGACCATAGTGAAGAATAGAGGAGATGTGTACTCTCAAGGAACCTGCCAAAGAGGGAGGACCAAACCTCTGCACCTCGATATCATAATAGTCAGTGCTGTGAGGAGAGCACAAAGCTTGTTTAG